CATTCCCATCTACTCAAAATGCTTCCTCACATCCACTTGCCAATCATGCACCTAGCGCTGCGGGGCTCCGCGAAGGCGTCTTGTTGATGAGCCTGGCGGGCTCGTTTGTGTGCAGCTCTGCGCGTGGTGGCAGTTGGCGGGTGTGTAGTCTTTGCATTTAGGGTTTAGGTTTGCTGCTTAGGTTTTTGGTCTGCCCCTCACTCTTGTGACAGTGCTCGGCACATAGGGCGGAGGCCGTGTCAGAACTTACCCGGCAGGGACGCTCCTGTTTCTGCTGGAAGAGTGCCTGGAACAACCGGCAGGGACAAAGCCTGTTCATGTTGGAGGGGTGCCCTCATGTTGGAGTGCCAGCAGTGAGTAGACCCTAAACTGCTGCCTAAAACTTCTTCAGAAGGCTCATATGTGATTAGGACTCGCAAGCGGTTGCCAGCACCTTCGCCAGAAGGCCCAGTAGGGATTATCGGATTTGCTGCTTCAGCCCTACCAGAATGCCCAGAGGAGGTTAAGTCGTGCACCCGAAGCTTGTGGTCCCTCGGGACTTGGAAGCAGCAGGGAGGGAAATCGCGAACCTGAAGCCTATCGGGTATCAGGACCCGGCATGAAGTAAAAGCGCGAACCTGCAGCCTATGGGCCTACGCGACCTGGGAGCAGCACGCAGATAAATCGCAAACCTAAAGCCTATGGGCTCTCCGGACCCGGGAGCAGCAGGGAGAGAGATCTCGAGCCTGAAGCTTATTGGCCTACGGGACCTGCGAGCAAGGCGGAGAGATATTACGAGCCTATCGGCTCTCACAGGACCTGAGAGCAGCAGAGATGTGTATCGTCTTGCGCAAACTGCCCATTTCTGCGACAGGCTTGCAGTCGCAAAAATCGGCCGCTGCGCGGGGCAGTTGAGTGATCACAGGACGCCGCATCTATTGACAGGCATCTTGGACACCTTACCTGCAGTCTCACTGCCCGGCCAGGAGGGCGCCCGCCCTCCTGCGCTGTGGCCAGCAAAAGCAGTGGGTAGACCTCTCAGACTGATGCCTCAAACATCCCCAGAAGGCTCAGAAATGATTAGGTCTCTCAAACTGCTGTCCCAACAGTTGCCTGAAGGCCCAGAAGTGATTAGGCTTCTCAAACTGCTGCCTCAACCTTCCCTGGAGGGCTCAGAGTGATTAGGCCTCTCAAACTGCTGCCTAAAACTTCTCCGGAAGGCCCAGCAGTGAGTGGGCCTCTCAAACTGCTGCCTAAAACTTCTCCAGAAGGCCCAGAAGTGATTGGGCCCCGCAAACGGCTGCCGGAACCTTCGCCAGAAGGCCCAGAAGGGATGTGAGGAGCTGCTGCTTCGGCCTATTCCAGCAGGTCCAGAAGTGACTAGGCCTAGCACTTTGCTGTGGGTCCTGCATCAGGTGTAGTCTTAAAAAAAATCGGCCGCTGCGCGGGGCTCCGAGTTCTAAGGCCCCTTGACTCTCACACTTGACGCGCGGTTGGCTGCAGAGTGTTACGCAGCCTTGTGGGCCTTAAACTGCACCAGGCAAGCACGCCAAGCCGATAGGCTCCTGGTACCTGGGAAGCACACTTGCCAAGTGCCAGCCAGCAGCCTCTGGGGCTCTTGCGCCGTCTCAAAAATCGGCCGCTGCGCGGGGCTGTAAGAACATGGCCTCTTGCAAGCAGCGCTTCAGGCCTGCCCTATGGCCGTAGCTACGTGAGGACGCCCGGACTCACCCAGCGCAGACGGCAGCATAGTGTAGCCACACCAGCCCCTTGTCTGCCCCTGCTTGTCGGGGGGGAAGGGGACGCCTCTTCTGGCACTCTGTGTGCATTGTGCTTAGCGTGCTTGCAACTTCCTTGCCAACCTACAATGGAGTCCTGAGTGCTATTGCTACGGCCCTGGCGCTTGTGTGGGGACTGTCTCTACGGACGCGTTGAGCAGTTTAGGTGACGGAGGTTCCTTGCCTTACGGCCTACCCACACTTTCGCTTAATGTCTGTACCAGACGTGGCGCAGCATTGCTATGGGTGACGGGCTGCTGAGTGATTGGCGCCGGTAGGTTCTTGTTTGCATTGGTCTCACCATGCTGGCCTTGCGTTAAGTTGTCTTGCAATAAGGGCCTCTGCGCTAGCGGTTGCTTCTTTGTAGTCACGACTTCTTTTTCACTCGCTGGCTTGTACAGTTTGTTTCACCCTTCGTGTTGAGACTCACAAGGACGGCCTACTGGGCTGCTGATGCAGTAAAGAGGCGACTGTTCAAAAAAAAAACCCCTCCAATCTCCATCTACACGATGATAAGCAACTGGACCTTTCTACTTCGACTTGCAGGCGCTCAAGAGAGCCTCCACAGTATACCGGGTACAGCAGCTTCTCAAATTATCTTCCTCAAGGGGCATCGTCAGTAAAGAACGGATGGCGCTTTCTACATCAAGACCATCACCTCAACGCTCTGCCCTACAATCAACATCTTCTAGCTCTGTTGCCTCGAACTACCAGCCTGCATGGCCGATGCTCTCAGACTAGGCCTGCCTGCCAGCCTGCCTGCTGAGGTTGAAGACCAAATCTCGTGTCCGCCAAGGCGTGGGACGTGACCCGCGCATGCGTCCGAAATAAATGAAATGTTGCATCGACTGCTGCTGTTGCAAAGCTTATTCTTGTCTAGGTGTCTGTTGACAGGGTTCCTCTTTGGTGTTGTCGCGTACAGTGCGAGGTCCAGGGGGCGGTGTGAAGCTGCTGGTCATGGCCGAGATGTCAACCAGAATGATCGGCTGTCTGTTGGTAGGAACAAATGCCGACACCTCGACCTGGATTTGGTACTGGATAAACGCTTTTGGGTTGGATAGCGCAGGGTCAGCTGTACTGTTGCGAACAACAGCGAGACAGCAGTGAGTGCCCTGATCAAGTGAGCCTATCTGGGGATTCAGGTTGGACCCAGAGTACTCTACAAGGACAGGAAGCGGTTGGTGGTGTTGAGAGGGCAGTGAGAACACTTAAGGAGTTGTTCAGCACGGTAAGATTGGATCTGAGTGCGCAGGGCTGTGACCTGAAAAGGGAGCCCTTGCGCGTTTGAGTATGGTCTGATCTATTGTGCTGCGATGCACAATCACCATGCTACTGCCTTTGATGGGAAGAAATCATCCCAGGAGTTGGTGTTGCAGAGGCCCCTCAACAAGTGTGGCTCTTCGCTGATCGAAACTGCGGTGTTAGCCAAGTTGCCGGATTAGACAAAGACAACAGCACTGTCACGGTCTGTAGAAGCTGCATACGTTTATCCAAGTTGGTTGTTTGACTTATGTGGTGAGTGCTGTTGTGGATGGATGCCCCAGGCACTTTCGAGCAAAGTTAATCAAGCACATAATCCTTTGATTGGGTTGGATCCTGTCTTTGAAGAATCACCGGTCTGCCTCTGATGTTTCATCCTTAACACCGCTTGTTGGGAAGAACCTTGTCTTGTCATTTCACTTAGCAAGGATCCCCCATCCAGGAAAAAACACGGGCAATCATCTTGTGGGAAGCTTATGAACAAAGCCGTCGTGCAGTTCCAGCAAATCTTCTGGCTGATGTCCCAACATGTACTGTCGCGGTAGTACCAGCAGGTCCACGGTAGCTTGATAGACCGAATGCCACCCATATACACTTTGAAGTGCGCTTCTGATTGTGTGACCACCCTCACGTGACCGCTTCCGAATTGAGCCATGGCGAGCTGTGCATGTGGTTGCAGACGTTTGACACCGCTGCAAAGGTCCCGTGGAAACTTAAGGTTCTGAGTTCCACGGATTCAACCAGGGTTCTCACGTGGGATCGATGAGTCTGCATTTTTTGTTGCGTAGATGGTGTTCCTTCAGAAGAATATCCAGATGACCCAGCGGGTTCCTTTTTTTTGTTTCATGGTTTCTTGGTGTCTCCAAGCTTTGGTTCTGGAACAAGGGTTGGCATTTTACTTTTATGGGGTAGTTGTTTGTTTTTGGAACTTAAAATGTAAGAATGCACACACATACATATATGTATACATCTATATAGATTTTTAAGTAAGCATATTATATAAGATGTATGTATTGTAGTACATGGTTGCCCAACAATTTTCTTGACAGCTTTCCACGTTGGTGCGCTTGAGCATGCCTTTGGAGAAGGTTCATGGTTGACCTTTTGCTTGCTTGTGCTTATGCGGGTGACAGATTGTTCTTGGCCTTCACCACGTGTTTCTTTGAGGTACCTGGCCCCCAAGCACCATTCCTAGATTTAACAACTTAACAACCCAAAAATACCACAGTGTGTTTTAGTTGCTGCCGTATTTTATACAATGCCATAGCATGCTTGAGGTATGCCAACGACTTGCGTTCACAGCCAGGAGACGTCGAGAAGGCCAAACTGTTTGAGTAAGCAGTTTGCCATTTTCCTTGACTCAAGTAAAAGCTTGTGGCAGCAGCATGCCGGTTTAGAGGGGTATAACGGTGTAGTTCTTGCGTCAAAGGCGTTTTAAGGTAGAGCGTTCATTGTTATAAGTGCTTGTTGTTTAGAAGGTGTGTGCAGTTGACGTGCATTTGGTTGTTGCAGATGTTTGCGTGACGCTGCGAAAAGTCTGCAGGGAGTAGTGTGCAGGACTTAACCACGGATCGCTAATGAGGGTTTCTTCATAAGGAAGAGGGTCTTGGATAGGGTTTCTTCAGGGCTTGTGTTATGACTCACGACATCCTCAAGATGCAACCGGGAATTGAAGTTACTTGCTTCGTGAAGGCCGTATGCCATCATGATGGGTCAGTCAACTCGTTGTTGTGAAAAAGGGGAGTAAACAGGTCACTTCGGGACGAGGGAATCTGGATCAACGGCCCACACAAAGGCCAGGGTGTCCTAGGGCGGAGATCCAGGTGCTTAGTGCCAAATCTCCTGTTCTCCTCCTCCTTCTTGGCAGTTTATGAGGCCTTGGCAGTGAACGGTTCTCTTTTCACCAGTGCCAGCCACCAGGGACTTGTCTGGGTGTAACATGCAGCGCTCGCTCAGATTGGGAAGCTGCCTTCGTGGTTCCCGATGTACACCATGCCGCTGCCGACGTTGCTGCAGCTTTCCGAGATGAGCCCCCACGAGGAGAGCCGAGAAGTCGATGCAAGGTTTGGGGTTTGGGGGACGCAGGAAGACGAGAGTCATTGAGAAGGCATAAAGAGAGTCCAGTTCCAGGCGGGTGGCCTAAACGCCAGGATCTCGATTCTACTCAGTGTCATCGATGTGTCTACGATGATGCCAAATCTTAAAAGCCTTCGGGCAGCATCCCATGTGTAGAGAGGCATCTCGTCGCTTCTTCTGCAGAGCTTGTGACAGCATCGATGCCGGATATATCCTGGTTTGGATGGTAGTTGTGCAGTGTGCAGTGGTTGAAAGTTTTTTTTGTTATTTTTTATCGGGCGAGTTTCGAAGCTAGAATGTAGCGGCCACGAGCCGAAGCCACAGGAGCTGCAGGCCGACGGCAAGCTTGTCGTGTTTGCATCGCACATGGGAAAGGCGGCCTTTGTTTCACACCAGTGGCGTGATCGCGAACATCCCGATCCGGAGTGCGTTCAGCTACGTGTGCTGCAGCAGGCCTTCAACTACATGCTTGAATCCGCGCGGGAAATTCCAGTCGACCTTGGCACGGAAGGTCTCGTTCCCGGAGCAAAGTCCATGTCAACCGCAGCGCTCAGAACGAGTTCTGTGTTCATCTGGTATGACTACTTCTCTTGCCCACAGCTTGACCACGAGGTGGGCTTGCTTTCGCAGGACGGCACTGTCACTAAATGCCAGAGCGAACTTGACAAAGCTGTCAGCAGCATTCCTGCTTACATCGCGAGGTGCTCCTTCTTTTTCGCTCTTTGCCCTGTCGTCGAGAATTCCAGTCTCTCCAAGCTCCTCACGCCCGGTACTTGGGCTTCCCGTGGATGGTGTAGGGCTGAGCGGACATTTAGGGAGCTATCCGATGATGCATCTTGGATCATGATCAAAAGCGCCACAGAAGTTGAGATGGTGATCTCGCCGGTGTTGACCCTTGGTGGTTCACCGGGCCATGGAGAGTTTACTGACGCTGCAGATAGACCGAAGTTAGCAACAGCCCTTGTGAAAACAATTCGGCGCAAGCTGCTGCAGCAGCTGAAGCATGGGGACTTGGTAAGCTACCGCGTTCTGCGCAACTTGCACACCGTTCATTTGCGCGGACTCCCTGCCGAGCCTGTGCGTGATCTCATCCCGGACTTTGCTCCGTGCTGCACCTGTCGGTCTCCTGTACCCTTGTTTTTGCATGAGATGGGTTTCGAGAAGATATCTGACGTGGACGTCAAAGGCTGGTCGCCTTTGCACTATGCTGCGCTTGGTGGGGACCCAGAGTTGATCATGGGCTTGCTGGAGCAACGTGCCGATCCGCAGAGTCTCACAAAAGGCAGCCAGCCGCAAGTGGAGATGCCGCCATTTGTGTCAGCCCTGGCTATCGCCATCTCCCTGAAGCACCACCAGGCCGCGCGGCTTCTGCTTGAAGCTGGAGCCCAAGTTGGTGCCGGCGTCGTTACACCGCCCATGTGCTTTGCCGCCATGGTGAATAGCCCAGAAGGCATCCGCATGCTGTGCAGTGCCGGCGGCAGTCTCGATACGACAAACCTTTTCGGCTTTTCTACTTTCGAGCTGGCTGCTGCATATGGTGCAGTGGAGGCTCTGGAGGAAATTCTCCTTCAAGCCAATCACCGAGCGTGCGCTCCCAATCTGTCGCGAGCCCTCTACTCTGCCATGGTCTTCCGAGGCGGCAGCGCCGAGCTGGTCTGGCGCCTCATTGGGCTTCAAGCAGACGTGAACTATCAATGGAAACAGCGCCACATGTCACTTTGGGGCATGTACACTGCCTTCAAGTCGCTGCAGTATAGGTGTGGCAAGAAGACAACATCCACAAGGGTCTTCTCAGAACTTGCCGGCTCGACCCCCTTAATGGCAGCAATCAAGTCAGGGCAGTACGAAGGAGCTGCGGCTCTCATCACTGCTGGTGCGCGGCTGGACATTCGAAACTGCCATAACCGCACAGCGGCCGATTGGGCACAGGAGTACCCAGTGCCAGCGTTTCTGCATGAGGCCCTGGAAGGGGACCCATCAGAATGCCAACGGATTTGTTCGCTAGCCCTTGAAAACAGTCTACTCGAGATGTGACTGGCCATTTGGACACGGCTTTTTCATGCACGCCGAAAGTGGCGGGCAGCTCACCAGCCCATTTTTGTGTCCCAGCATGCAGTGCAACGGTCATGCACCACGACCAACCGTGTCTTTGGAGGCCCCTGAGACATGTTGGGGGCAAGAGCGTGAGACCATAACTGCAGGTCAAGTTCTTCTTTCCTTCCTTCCTTTCTTTAGTTTCTTCAGCCATACATTATCATACAATCGTGCACTCGACACAATACTATTCTGTACAGGAGTTTAGACGGCGCGATTGCGACCAGTGTTTCCCCAAAAGCGGATGCTGAGCATCTGGTGACGTCTTGCCAAAGGCTGATGAGACAAAAGCTCCAACGATGTACTGTATAGAGTGTGCGCATATGTCTATTGCGACATTATACCACAGCGTACCATAGCATACTGCATTCTATTGTGCCATAGTAACCTGTGTCAGTGTCATATAAAGAAATGGAAAAGACCTCAAAACGATGTGCCTTTCGTGGGGTAGACTAGGTCGTATGGGGAGGTTGCTGGATCTTTTTGCTAGAGCCCTCCCTGTAGGGAGACGGAAGATACCAGTATGCGGAGACGAGACGGGTCATGGTTTAGAATGCGCCTCCTTTGGCGTTCCCAGCAGAGCATCTCATTTTGAATTTGTTCGAGCTCCTCGGGGGTGACAGTCGATATTCCTGGGCATCAGTATGAGTTGCATCCGCAGATTCAATTGCATTATCTTCTTAATCCATTTGCCCCCATCAGCAATAACCTGTTGTCCGGCGCATGAATCCTCACAGAGCATAACATTTTGATCCGTTAGCTTCCCCTCTCGCTAAGAAGTGCATCATTGAAATCATAAGTAGTGAAAGTGAAGACTGCAGCCTTGACTAGTGAGAAACGACATCGCGGGTTTTCGGATCGTTTAGGTTTGCAGTGTCCTGTCTAAAGCTATTTGCCCCATCCAACGATAAGGCAAATGCAACATTCCTTTTTGGGCATGACTATGTCATTGTGTATTGGCAGCGACGCACCCCTCTTGTCTCCCCAGACCTGGTCTACCTTGTGCCAAGCAGACTGGCTCCTACACCTCATGTGGTGCATGTCGGCATAAACGACTTACGACACTATTTTGGGTGTGCGCTGGTGTCTAAGCAGGAGACCTCTGAGAAACAAGTATAGTCATAATTCCGGCCATAGCTACCAGCACCGTCCAGCCAGGCTGCTTCTATGAGAGGTTTAGAGTTGCAAGGTTCGGAGGCTCAGGTTTGGATAGCTTGGGGCTTTGAAAGGGGGTTGGTTTTGTGAGGTATCGTGAGATTTTGACGATTCGGACATCGCTCACGATCCATGGTGGGCGGTGTTTACTCGCCTTTCCCCGCGTTCCGCCGCCGCGAAGGTGGCTGGGCCATGCATGAGATTATAGTTGCGTGTTCATATGGACGCAAAGCAGTTAGTGTATGAGACAAGCTTTGGAGCTGCGAGGGGGCTGGCGGAGCATGATCTGGCATAGCAGTGTTTGGCTCCACATGGATTCGACGGGTGATCGGGTGAACTGGCATGCTGATAGGACAACCATATGCGAATCCCCAGCCAAGAGAGCTCAATGTAGACGATCTGAAGAGACATGCAGAAGAAAGGGCGAGATCCGAAGCTGGGATTGTTGTAACATGTCGGGAAGTCGAAAACCGTGTCTTGCCCAAGCCCATGTGCCATTGTAAAAAAAGACCACGTGTCAGAACTACATAGTCAATTTCTACTTGTGCGCTTGCATATACTGGAAGCAGCTGTTGCTTCTGAGCCGAGGAAGAGCTTCGAGGCGGCGAGCTGAAGATGTGCATATCCCCCCCATTGCCTATGCCATGCTGCAATCCTTCCTGCGTGTTGTTTAGATCTGCCCTGTTGGGTTCCACCTGTGCGCTCCCAAAAGTGAGCCTTCTGCGCAAGAACGCTTCCTCACGGCTCGAAGCTCGGCATCCATGATGTGCCAGTGGTGGGGCGGGCGGCGCTTCAGCAGCTTAAAGCACTTTCTTCTCGACCAGGTCCTGCATGCGGAAGGGTCTTCAACTTGATGTCCAAAGGAAGTCTGCGAAGCAACGTCGAACAAAGGCACTACGTAACAGACTTCGAAGAAAAGCGAAGGGCTCGGCCAGCACAGACAGAACTATGTACAGCCTGCCGGACACTACAACGCCGACACTCATACGGCTCATGTGAGCGATGGACTCCTAACATACCAAAATGGTTTCCGCGAGAACAAGGCAGCCCTAAACATTCCACAAGTCTGGGCCTAAGCCAATTGCTCCTCACGCGCACTCCACATCTCACACACTCTGCCTGCTGGCTGCTGCCCTTGGTGGTGCTGAGTCGGAAGGAACGGTCAGGATAAACGGTGGAGGCTTCGGAGCGGACTACTGTACACCCTAGTCGGTAGCTTCGGCCCTTGATTTCTTAAAGATTGCACGGGTTTGGATTCTTCCCACTTTTACCTTGCCATCAGCGCCTCCTGGACCTTCCGACAACGGCCATCAACAGCGGCAAGCAAAGAAACCCGTGGCTGGAAAGCTACATCTCCCGCAAACGTGTGGCTGTATGTTTGTGAAGCACTATACGCCATGGCTAGACTGGCAAGCGAAAGTAGTGGAAGCGTAAAGGGACTCATCACATGTCATCCAGCATGTCGCTCTGTCTGAAGATGCCCTGTGCCCCGAAAACTGTATCATCTACAATTCAATGATCAGAGTCATGCAGGGCTTTGCGAAGGCACGAGAGGTTGACGAAGGTCACTGGCGTGCACGGTGGTCATGGGGAGCTAGGGCAGTCCTTGGGTTTTGTTGCGTTACTTTCGCCCGGCGAGCAGCTTCTCGAGTTCTCGGAGCACAAGGTTTCATAAAAGAGCGGCGGCACTGGAGCAACGGAAAGCCAACCAAGATGCCGGTTGCATCGTCTCACGTGCGGCCCTTATAGTCTCTAGGTGCCCAAAGACGGGCTTCAAGAGTGATTCCTCGAGCGCTTCCTCCTTCTATGCGTTGCAAGTAAACATGGCTGAGCCCAAAACTGCTTGCCCGGAGGGCAGGCGCAGAGAGCAGCCTTGCACTTCTTCCTGCAGGTAGCACTGGCAGGTCTTAAACCCAAAGCCCTCAACCCTAAGCCCTAAACCCTCATCGCCGGCCTTGGACTGCTCCTGCTTGGTCGTAAGGGTCGATGTGCCACCTGAGTCGGCTCGGGGGGTTGTAGAGCTTTGAGGTGAGCTTTCAGAGCGCTTTGCTTGTCTCGCACGGCCTGGATTTGCCTTTGAACGCGCTGAAGCGCTGAACTAGCACTAAGCTCTGAATTCTGAAGCCGAAAATGCTGAGCTTTGGTGACGCTCTGAAATGATGAGGGCATTGAGTCTTGGGCCTTGTTTATCTCCGCCAGAGCCTACGAGGCCAAGTTTTCTCATAGTTGCTTCCATCATCGCCTCCCAGGCGTGCAGGAATGACCGCATCAGTTGTGGGAGGTGGGAGGGGCATCTCTCGCCCTGGCTCACGTCGAGGAAGTACACAGGTCGGCGACTTCGGCCACCTCAGCTCGTTGTCGTAGGTTCTATGATTCAGGAGTGCCGCTTTTTCCCCACGGCTTGAAGTCCCTGTTCGCTGCGTGGTATTCTCTGCCTTCGGAGGAGTTGTACCGTTGTAATGCTGTTATGGTTCCATCATTTCCGCTTCTGGACTCATCGGGTCACAGTAGTGCCGGGATGCAGCGGCTTTGGTTTGCACAGGGTGGCAGGCTGAGAGCACCCTGATCTGAACTTCGAGGACTTCCTCGCGGTTGCAGACCAAGCCTTGCTTTCTTCCAGGGGTCGAGCTCATGCATCGATGCTCCGGGTTCCCTTCCCGTGGCCCCAGGGCCACAGGTGCAGGTTACCGAGCTAGGCGCCACGATCCAGCGGCTGCAATCCTGAGCCCTGTAGTCAAGGGTCTCCCGCACAGCTTGTGCATTGCGATGCAGACTGGGTGCGGTTAGGCTCCTCGATCCAGTATCTCCAATCCTCGCCCCTATAGTCAAGAGTCTCCCGCACAGCTTGTGCGTTGCATGGGCGTGGGAGATTTGTGACATGTAACGTCACGTTTAGCGCAGGTTCGCTTCAAGCTCGGTCACCGGTCGATGTGTTGCAAGATCTTCTTGCACCTTCGCTGCCTGCCGCGGCTTGCATGTCGGCTGGATGTGTGCGCTTGCCTAAGCAGCTGCCCGAAGCTCTGAATCCAGGCGGAGGGTTGGTCAGGACAAGCCCAAAGGGGTCCAACGGCCTAACCCTCCGCAAGGGGGAGGGAAACATCCACTGCAGAATTTGGAGAACCCCGCCGAGCTTCCCCCAAGCCCGCCGGCTTGTAGCCCAGGTAGAGCAATTGCAGAAGTGTTGCCAACTTATTTTCTGATTTGCAAAAGCGCCTTCCCGCTACAATCTGTTCCTCGCCATACAACTGCCACCGCTAGCCCTGCTCACCATCCTCAACGTCTAAGCAGATCGCAGGGTGCGGCTGGTTTGCCGAGTTCGAAGATGCAGTACATTCATTTCAGACACAAAGTCCTTGTTAGAGCTGTGTCTGCCTGACAAGACTAGTGTGATGCCCAGATCTGTGTTCAAAGCTTTGCGCCGTCTGACATGCACTTAACCTGTAGAAGGAAGACGAAGAGCCAGACCCATTCCTCTGTTGTCCTCTGAGTACAGAGTGCCACAGCTGGACAGCACGGGCATGGAGCCATCACCACCTGCAGGTGGTAAGGGGCTTAAGGGGCTTGTCTCCTTGAGCCCTCTGAGCGTTTGAGCTTCACGGACTCCTTACTTGTCCATTGGCGCTTCTGGCGCATCTTCCGTCTTGCAGCAAGGTGTTCGTGGACCAAGCGTTCCTAGCTTAATGCATGGTGCAGGTCAATACCCGGGTGAAGTCCGATTGCCCCTGCTTCCGCCCTCAGCTCATGAAAGTGACGCGTGCCCTGAAGCAGCTCAAGCAGCTCCCCTT